GTGAGCGCGGGTCCCTGCTCGACGCGCGGCGCTGAGAGGCGGGCTGACGCAGCCGCCGCCTGTCCGGCAGGTTCGCCGTCATGGCCTACTGCTGGGCGACTGAGCCGGCCGAGCGGCCCGGCCTCCACCACCTGCAGTCCTGCCTCATCGACTTCCACATGCACCTCGACAACTACGTGTAGTGGCCGACCGTCTCGGCGCGGACCTGCGCACTGCTCCGCTCTCCCGGCCGGGGGCGTGGCCGCCAGCCGGGTGACTCCGGCAGGCACGCACGCCACGTCAGTGCATCAGCTACGATATTAGGCGCAGACGGAGCGTTCCGTTTGTGTGGGGTTACCGTGCGTCAGGGTTTTGCATTTCGAGAATTGGAGAGTTCGGCGGCGTTTGGGTTGGCTGTCGATGTAGACTGTGCGGCCACCCCGCGGTGGATGCTTTGGTATTGGCTGCTACGGATTACGTGGTGAGCTGGTGGAGTGTGAATGGGCAATGCAGTGCAATTGTTACAACCGACCTCAATGTTGCGTTTCTTCATCTTGGCTGCTCGTACCATTGTAATGTTCATCGTCGGATAAAGCCCTGTGATATTGTGCCGTACCTTTTGTTGTCGCTGTACCCACGACGCTTCCTTGCGTTCGCCAGCGCCTACTGTCCGTTTGTGCGTACCGCAACGCTTGATGTCAGCTGCCCGCTCGCCAAGGGAGCCCGCCGGCGCGCCGTGCTTCGTCATTCGTACGTGTGCCATGTGGCGCGCTCGTCCGGTGGTCGGCAGTCGCTTCAGGGCGACCGATCAGCGCGCTCTCCGGAGCGGAGGGATCGCGCGACGTGCCGCCCCGGTCGCCGTGGGACCCCGCGCTGCGCTGCCTCCGGTTCACCGCCGGTGCCGTGTCGGGGGCTGCGCGGGGGTGACCGCATCGGCGGTGGCCGGCGGCGTGTCATCCTCCTGAGACACCTGGCGTGCGACCTCGACCCACCCTTGTCTCATTGCGGCCGAGTGTCGCTGCTGCTATGAACTGGATCAGTATTTTGGTGTTGTGCCCGCTGGTTTACACTCTGCTAATGTCTTTCCTCCGTCGGTGAGCGACAAGGAAGTAGACGCTCTGTATCGTGTCGTTTGACTGGGCTGCTGCACCCGAAAGCTATGTGTTCTGCACTGAACGTTTGGTACAAATTCGCAGGCCGATTTTCAGCTGCCATGAACTGCCGGTATTATTGAACGCCTTTACTGGCTCTAGTTATTGCACAGTTACTATTGTTGACGGTATACATTCATATGTTATAATTGACAGTTTTATTGAGTGATTTGTGTGTAAAGAGAAGTTTTCGTCCCGCCAAACTGTGCTGATTGCATTGCACGACGCTTTTTATGGTTGTACACGAACACCATTTCATAGCATGATTTCATTCACGCTACTGACGTGTAGCGAGCAAACCGACGTCCACGCATTGCGATACCAGCTTGTGCTCTGGGCCTCACGCTTGTGGGAGTGTGCCGTCACCGACGCTTCAAATGTTTTGTGTGTTTTCGACTGTGTGACTGAGTTTTCTCATCTTAGTTAATATTTTTGTATCAGGGTTTTAGAGCTTCGTATCCGCCCGACCCCGTGAGTGGCGGTTTCCATTGTCGAATATCAAGGTGTTTGCGGGTGTCAAGTGTCATCGGCTTAAAGCCCCGAGTAGCCCTAGGTAGCCTCTTTGCCCTGTTTTGTACTGAGTTGTGCCACAATAGGAAATGCATTTTTAACAAAACTGATGTCTGTGTTCAAAAATACGTAAGTAACCCGATCGGAAGTGATGACGCATATTTCACGTGCTGGGGACATCAACAGACTGATACCCGCTGTGGCAGCCTGTTTCATTCAGCGTTCAGCAATCATCAACCGCCTTAAAGGGAGTGTTCAACATTTCCGTGGGATTTTGAACTGAAAAAGCCATCTTGAAGGCCTTTTGGTACAGTTCACAGCCCTGGCCTTTTAAGACCTAAACCCGTCTAGTTTCTGAGCTGCGCGCCGGCGAAAATGGCGAGGGTACGTCAAGATCACCTTAGCATGCAAGTAATAACGCTATTCAAATCCTGCCATTCCATAAGCCATACGGCGGTAAAGGTCTACACAATCACAATGGTCGAGCCATTCATATGTGGTGTTTGTGAGCACGATTTCCAGATGCAACGGTCGTCAATTGACTCAATGTAGTGCACGGTACGGTGACGCGATCAAACAGCGTATTGAGGGGTCAATTTACTAAACAGGCATTCCTTGTCTGGAGCGGTCTTTTCTGTTTAAAAGTATGCCAGTAAGGATAAGTGAGCGTGTTTCTTCGCATCTGATGCCTCAGTATCTTCAAATGCTTAACATTCCGTCTTTAACCACATCGGGCGATCCTTTTTAATCGCATCATGCCGCGATCACTCGATTGTTTAACATGCACACATTTTATGTATGCCTTGCGATGGTTTACCACGATGGTGTTAAGTGTCGCTAGGAAGCTATTTAAATATTCGATGCACTTAAAAGTTTCTGTTATTGTTCAGATGGTATTTCACAGCAACAGTATACTCGAGGCTCCAAGGAACAGTAAGACGCCTTCAGTTTATGTCAATAGCAATAGTGAAAGATGCCGTTCTGGCACGAGAGATGCATGAAGAAAATAGAAGACATTGTTTATTCACAATCCGCATGGTTTTGGGAGAAAGTTCGAAAATGGCATTTAGCAGTTTCACCTCTGTTATGTTCGGTTTATTTTAACGTGCACACCGGCTTTTCACGTGCACGTGCTTTTCCATTCTTTGGTTAAACCTCACACTGGACCATATGCGTGCTTTTGCCTGAGTTTCTCTCATTTTTGCTTCGCGCAAATTTGACGAACAACCAGCAGTGCGCACCATGACGAATGAGGGTAAGTTTGAATACATGTTGGTTCTCGAATGTCGCCATAGTGACCAGCGTACTGGTTTTATTATACAGCCGATCGAGATTACGAGAGCCATCGCGCGCCTTTCCTGCCGTCTTTGCATGCTCCTCTTCTTTGTTACATTGCGGTTTGCCGCACGTCGAAGAATCGAAGAAGACTAGTGTAAGACTCCCTGCCTTAAAATGGCCCTGACATCTCATAAGACGTTAAGCTCCAATCATTCATAATCATGTGGGACTCGGTCCGGTGAACCTCCTCGTCAGCCCTAGGTCATCGCCCCTCGCGCAGTCCCCTGACCTAGCAGTCCGCGGCAGGTCGTGCGTGTGGGGACGGCTGTCCCCCGCCGGCATGTCACGGTGCCAGTGGACAGGCGGCCCAGCCCTGCGCATGCGAGCCCAAAGCGCAACAATCGCCTTCGCACCATGCCCACCAACCAGTGGCATTCCCGTGTGCCACCGTGAAGAACAAGACGGACGGCGGTCAGCCGGGGGCAGGCAAGAAGTCTTCGCCATCCAACTAGCAAACTGTTCATCCCGTCGTATCCTGCACGTAAGTTGAGCGCCTGTTGTCATCATCATTTCGACGGAAATCCCCCTGGATCTTCCTAGGCATCCCATCAATAATGGACTAAAGCGGACGTCATCATATCAAAGGATGATATGTATATTAACCCTATACTAATGGTTATAAACTTGTATTGTGTTAACGATCATTACATTCACAACATATCCAAGGTGCTTGAGCAATACGCAATGACAGGCTAAACAGATATGGTTCCTTGGCTATCCTGAGCCGTCGCCGCGGTGGCGGTCTGACATCCGCTGTAGTGCCGGCCGAACCGCCGCCGCAGTGTCCTCTGACTCCCGCTGTGGTGCCTGCCGAACCCGACGCCGCAGTGTCCCCTGACTCCCGCTGTAGTGCCGGCCGAACCCGCCGCCGCAGTGTCCTCTGACTCCCGCTGTAGTGCCGGCCGAACCCGCCACCGCAGTGTCCTCTGACTCCCGCTGTGGTGCCTGCCGAACCCGCCGCCGCAGTGTCCTCTGACTCCCGCTGTAGTGCCTGCCGAACCTGCCGCCGCAGTATCCTCTGACTCCCGCCGTAGTGCCTGCCGAACCCGACGCCGCAGTGTCCTCTGACTCCCGCTGTAGTGCCTGCCGAACCCGACACCGCAGTGTCCTCGGACTCCGCTGTGGGCTGTGGTGCCTGCCGAACCCGACACCGCAGTGTCCTCAGACTCCCACTGTGATACCATCCGGACCGGTTGACTCCCGCTGTGATGCCGGCCGAACCCGCCGCCGCAGTGTCCTCTGACTCCCGCTGTGGTGCCTGCCGAACCCGACGCCGCAGTGTCCTCTGACTCCCGCTGTAGTGCCTGCCGAACCCGACGCCGCAGTGTCCTCTGACTCCCGCTGTGGTGCCTGCCGAACCCGACGCCGCAGTGTCCTCTGACTCCCGCTGTGGTGCCGGCCGAACCCGCCGCCGCAGTGTCCTCTGACTCCCGCTGTGGTGCCGGCCGAACCCGCCGCCGCAGTGTCCTCTGACTCCCGCTGTAGTGCCTGCCGAACCCGACGCCGCAGTGTCCTCTGACTCCCGCTGTGGTGCCTGCCGAACCCGACGCCGCAGTGTCCTCTGACTCCCGCTGTAGTGCCTGCCGAACCCGACGCCGCAGTGTCCTCTGACTCCCGCTGTGGTGCCTGCCGAACCCGACGCCGCAGTGTCCTCTGACTCTCGCTGTGGTGCCGGCCGAACTCGCTGCCGCAGTGTCCGCAGTGTCCTGCTGTGGTGCCTGCCGAACCCGAGGCCGCAGTGTACTCTGACTCCCGCTGTGGTACCGGTCGAACCGGCTGACTCCCGCTGTGGGCCGAGTTAACACCCGCTGTGGTGCCGGCCGAACCCGCTGCCACAGTATCCTGGCTCCCGCTGTGGGCCGACCTGACCCCCGCTATTGTGCCGGTAGGACCGGCTGCCACATTATCCCAGCCCCTGTCGTGGTGCCGGTCACACCGGGCGCTTCCTCGGGCGCCCGCCATCCGCATGTGTTTGCAAGGCGGGCTCCTCCTCCGCTGCCGCAGGAGAAGGAGATTATGGCCAGGATGGTGGCACATGACTATGGCCGCCAGTGGCTGGCAGAGCGTGACGCCTGGCACCAGCTGCACGCCACATCGGACGATCACCTGCGCGAGCGCATGCTGGAGCGCTGCCGCGACACCGAGGCACGGTGGGTGGGAGGGGACAGGAGGCGCGCACCGCGGCTGGCGGCCGGTCCCAGTGCGCTGCCAGCAGCGCTGAGTCGATGCTATCTCCACTTCCAGCTGTGTGGCGGTTCCTGAAATTGGGGTGGCCGGACGAGGTTCTAAGGGCAGACCATAAACTACGTCACACGTGTTGGATATTTCACAACCTCTCCCCTGGTAACGCACTGGTTGTGCTGGCGAACCCTCCCTCACCCTGGTTACGCTGCGTAAGGCACAACGTCGCCAAATTCACGTCCGTTTAACCCCTAATTGAGCAAGAGATATGAATCCATAACGGCGCTTCCTTTATCACGAGAGGAAGCCAACTATGCATATCTTCTAAGCTTTATGTTGTTTTTTTAAAGATTTTAACACGATTTGCGACTCCACCTGAGCATGACTTTATATTGTCTAAAACCTTCCCTCTCTCCCTTGTCACGCTCCCGCTACGCCCAAATCCTCCCCTTCTCGTCCACGCGTAATATAATCTATTAATGACTCCTAAGACTCTCAGACGCAAACCTAAACATCGCGAGTAGAGAACCTGTGAGTTTCGTCTCCAGTTAGGACGAAGATAATTCCCATGATGAGTAAAAGGTGATCTGATCAAAAGGTTTCTTTGCGTAACTTCCGCGGAATTGAAAACTGGTAAACAACTTGACCGGAACTTCTGCATAAGGACCGGCTGTCTTGCTTTTTGCCATGTTACCTGATGCGTGGTGCTTTGCCAAATCCAGCTGACAACATCATCACTGGTTCGGTAAGTGTTGTCCGAAGTCAAGTCATGTTGATGCACGATATCTATGTATTTCCCGACCCATTTCAACCACACTATTTTTCATCAGGCTTGTGGTGTACTCACGACAACTCGGGCAATCAGAAATCCGTAGAAACGGGCAAACGGGCTTCCCATGGCGGCATGTTACTCGAGCACAGACTACAGGACAACCTGCACAGCCCGTTATTAGGGCTGATGACTTTCGAGGTCACTTTGACGAGACGAGCAGCTGTCCCCAAAATATCAGTGCCGGATCCTTTATGCTGTTCAGGATATGAGGCTACTGGTTATCGTGTGGTCATTACTGAGGGAATTGCGGAGATGATACCGAGTTTGAAGCGTGGGGCTACTTCGGGGACGGGCCTGGTCACCACAGAGCGTTTGCTTCACGGTCAGCCTCGCAGCGGTGTCTGTGCTAAAGCCGTTTTGACACAGAACCGTGGTACCGCGCCGTTGAAAACGCGGGTCTGAATCCAAATGAGTTTGATAACTATAGGTTCACTAGTTCCTGGTTCCGTCTCATTCATTTAAGCCATTTCAGGATTGCTGGAGATACTGCTGGTCAGCGAGCTTGCTAGGACCCTTTTCTCGCCAGAACTCGCGATTCGCATTTGTTCAGCAACGTAGTAACGTGGGACGACTCCAGGATCACTTCTGGCTCTCGAGACCACCCAATGCAACGTCAGACGCAGTTCGTCAGCGTTTGCGACCAATGTAGACTCCAAGGGATCTCATCTGACAAGAAGGATCCTCTACTATTAGCCGAAGTCTTGGATGATCGCTCGTGGTATCTGCTGGCAACTTAGTATCGCCACCTAAATACGTGCGTGATGTTTGGCTAACGTTGTTCGTGGAAGTGCAGCATCCTCCGTGTCACGAGGCAGGAAGCGATTTGATGTCAAACCCCAGCAAATGTGACCCTGCACCGCCTCGTGTAGGGTGGTGCCATCTGTCCCACCAGCCGGAATCAAAACAATTCCTGGTCAGGTAATGCTTGGTCCTCTGTTTTTAAGATGCCACAAAGCATGCCTGGAACAGACGTAAAAAAAACGGCAGGTGGCAATTTCAACTGATATAGCAGCCACAACATCAAACTCAGTTTTTATAGACGCAGCGTGAAAACTTACAAGAAAAGTCTTTTGTGACCGTTGGTAGCATAGACCCTAGATGTGGCCGTCGGTAGCATAGACACACCACTTGATGTGTGTCCCACCGAGCGAAGACGGTGTGGTGGACGCCCTGTGGCTCCTCCTGGGCGAGCGCTGTGATAAATCCCGCCGCCTACGTTTTGGAAGATTTGATCCGAACCTTTTTGACTGGATGAATTTCTGGGATCAGACTTCACACTACGTAGTGCTTGTCGTTGGGCTGCCGACCCCTGTCATCCGATCGTACCATTCTACGTCAACAACAGACTTAAGTGGCCCAAGTTAAACGTGCCGCAATACTTCGAACGGTCTGTTCTGCCCGCTGACGTCGCCTGACCTTTAGCGCGGCCGTGGCCACCGGCCGCAGACCATACCTGTCAAGGGCTAAAGCGGGCGTTTAAGGTGACTCGAAACAACAACGCCACGAACGGGTGGATCGGAAGGCAGGCGCTCTAACCAGCTAAGCTGTCGGGACAGACCGGCTATAGGGACCTTTGAGGCTAATAACCTTTTAATTTGTATCATTCAGTGTTTGTTTCGTGCTTTCCGGTCGTGTAATACTTTGTCGCTCTGCCGCGTTGTGCCTAAGTGTGATGCAGCACTAATTACAGTGATGATGATAATTGTGACCGGCGCCAGACAGAAATAGCACAATGTGATAATTTATTAACAAGTCAGTTTGCTCCCACGCGGCCGACAACGGATGGAGAGCGTGTCTTACATTACGAATAGCGTAGTTCGTACGGTTCATGGCACTGGCACACGCGTAGTACGTGCAGACATACCTGGCAATATAACACCCTGCATGTGTAGTTATTGCTATGAGGGCTCCTGAAATGTTAAAAGAAAACATGCCACGTCATTCAGACGTCTACGCTCCAGCTAAGAGTCTACAGAGCGTCACGCTGACTAGAAAATTAATGTTGCGCTTCAAATGAACCAAACGTCATTATTCATGTTATGCTCATTATCACCATCGTCATCATCATCTTCGTCATGTTTGTTGAACAACATATGTAATGAAATGTGAACGCAAGTCAGAAAGCCGCAAAAGCAAACGCTCAAATCGAGACTCCTTGTCGGAGACAGACGGAAAGACATGTTTAACTGTCACCGCCGCCACTGTACAGCTCGCTCATCTACTTCATTCGGTCAGATGACCAGTCATCACACACCTCATAGAGTATGTCACGTTTTTATGGTATGGTGAGAGAATCATTGACGACACTTGGATCGAATAATCGTCTAGCAATGAGTAAGAAATCTTGGACATGGACCGTCCCTGAGATTTGCGCCATACAAAAGAGATTGTAGCTGATACGAAGGTAAATTGTGTCTGAAATAGATGTGCAACATTTGAGATGCGTTATCAAACAGATCGTTTCGTTGCTCTATGCATTTTGGGTATGAGAGAACGACGCGACGAATGTTTTCAGTTTGGTAACCACACGGACACGCCGGTGCGCCAAACGGACCATATACCCTCGCGATTTTCTTGCTCAGCTGTAGCATCACCCGCTGGATTGTTGTGCGCATGTTTTTAACACCAATTCTAATACTGTGCTTCAACCTTACGAGCATATTTTCCCATGCGGTCTCCGAACAGTTACGGGTCTGAAAGAGGTGGATTTGAAAAATGTGATGCCGGTATGTCGTCATATTCCTTGAAGATGCCGTCTTAACGACTTGCCGTGCGGTGCTGGGGTTTGAGTCTCTAACTGACCCGGAATTTCCAGGGAGGCAGTAATGGCCTCTTTCCTTTCGGGTGTTTTTTTTTTTTGGTTGCGTCAGATTGAATACCGCAGGATCTTCGCCAGAAACTCAACCAAGGGGACTGTTCCACATTTGTATATCGTTTTGAACTGAGATAGCGATGTTCAAGATGATTTCCTGTAGTTCACAGCTACGTCCTGCCCAAGACTTCAACTCCTTACGTTGTTTAGCTGCACGCACTCGAACTTGTGTAGGCATTTCATGCCGCCCTATTTACAAACGCCCAGATATACAGGACGCCATAGAATCGCCACAAATTCGCCCCATCGATGAACATATAGCGTTATAGGTCAAGAAAAAATAATGTTTGAGTTATTCGCACCTGGAGTATGCCAGCCTGAATTGCCACATCAACGGATACCGCTTGGCTTGCAACCATTTGTAAGCGTTTCACGTAACTTTTGCATACAAACCACGTTTTGTGATGCATAACACAGGCATTTGGGCGGTTGTTCTTGTTAAAGCAAGAAGTGAAGCTGAAAATCGAATAACTTTAGATAGTGCCGTAACCAGGCATTCGAAGGCAAGAAGAAAGAAATCATTACGGACAAAAGTACAAGAACGCCACGAGAAAGAGCCAAAACCGCATACATAACGATATTTCGTTCGGTTCACACGCATCAGTTACAAGCCACCTATCGGAAAGTTGAAGTACTACAAGTCGGTCAGCCCGTTTCTCTGCAGTGGCAATTGTCAAACGGCTAATCTGACAGCGATATGAACGCCACAATAACATTATATGAGGCATTGACGGACATCTTTACTAAAAAAGGATTTCATTTAGTCTAGAACGGTCTTTTGCACTTAAAATCACACTAATAGTTGCAAGTGAGCTTTTTCCATGATTTCTGATGCTTTCCTCAACATCAACTGTGGAATGCTCCTGTTAGGCCCATGCGATTGACCAAGACGTGCATGCATGCATTAACATGCCTGCATGCACGTTAATGCCTAAGATGGTAATTAATGCCTGAATGATTTTAATATAAATGCCTAAATCATTTTAGACATCAATGATGATCAATGCTCAAAATGAATAAATGATGACACATTTAACCTTGATAAGCCCTTTCGCATACGTAAGTACCGTTCAGTTTCGTCCTAATGTTCGACACTTTTCGGAGCATGGGTGATCTTTAGTAGTTGCCGTTATGTCCTTCGAAGGCCCGTCCGGAACCCTGACAAAGGTTACCGGGGCTATTCTCGGGCCTGAGTCTGCTCACATCAGCAAGTCAGTGACACAGGGGCAGATCATTCACGCGGCGCACTTTGACAAGTTAGACACCAACGACATCACGGATTGAATCCCTCATTGAACCCTGAAGTCACGAAATAGTATTTAGAATCCTATCCGAACACGACAGGTGCCATCAATTCTGCGTAACGCTCGAGACTAATAAAATGTGTTTTGAGGACATGCTAAAAGAGAGTCAGACATCAGCGAACGCTGGTGGTAAGGTTTAGCGGTTGGGCAGTATCGGACGTGCGAAAAGATAAGTAGAGAAAGGTATGAGAGGACTATCCGGGGAAGATTGTGGCGAAGGTAAAATGGGCCAGCTAGGACCCCACAACACTTCCGGGTCAGGGTGCGCATCTCAGCGTCCCCAGCATTGCACCGGTCAAAGCTAACACCGAGGTTCCTGGCCTCCGAGTAAGGAGCGGTGGAGGATACCCGGAATTTTACGTTGTGAGGAGCGATCCCCTGTAGATTGTGACAAGTCCCGAAATAGGTCGGATGTTCCTTTGTTGGCATAAAGTTCGTTGTAATAGCAACCACTTGAAGTGACTCATTACGTTTCTAAGCTGGCAACGCGTCTGCACAATTTAGTGTTTTAGCAATTTTGAGCTAAAAATTTTCGACTAGAAACCAGTGCCTGCGCATCGACCTTTTGTATTACAAAGGCGTCAGTGGCATGCAGGCTCGGGTCGTTCGCAAAGCGTCGAAGTAGAGGCTCTCTCGAGGGCATCTGAAAAATTTCTGAGCTTTTGGAAGCGGGACCGAAGACTGACAGCTGACCGGTATGTGATGACGAAGAAAACCAGACCCTCGATTTGGTCAGAAAGATACAGTTTAAGCTATGCGTTTTTGTTCCACTGCAGCTGCAGCCTGAAAAGTAATTCAGTAATGATTTGGCGCTTACGTCTCATCGACTTCCGGGGCCATTTCGAAACGGATTCATTTATTACGTATTATATGGGATACAGTAGTGGGGTGGGTAGGGGCTCGAGGTCAGGGCCGATAGGTCCAGAGGTGAACGACCTTAACACTATACCACCACGCCCTGGGAAATAATTTGGAATGATCGACTTCCCGGAAACCTTTGCTAAGATCTATCAAGCAGAGAACACAAATTTTGCTCTCATCCACTGAGGACACAGGGCCGTGAGCTGGGCGGTTTCAATAGGACAGCGATGTCTGGAGCGACATTGAGAAAAAGCAGGGAGATGGTTTGTGCACAAAGGAGGTAGAAGGTGGTACTGCACAACCCTCAATACGGTTTTTGCTCTGACGGGAAGGATAGAGACTGGACGAAAGTCTAGGATTGTCTACAATATCAAATCAACACTTCGGTTGGGTTATGATAAATGCTGCACGCATCTCGTTTTCCACGGTCCGTACAAGATTGACAAAGACTCATGATGGCATTCCGATCTTCACGGAAGCCTCTCAATGCCACAATGCCAAAATCGTAACATATTTTGAAGCGTCTCACTCCACTTGGCAACGGCCATGATCTGTCAAAACGCTGTCGCGCTATTATGCATGGCTAATTAATGGTAGTTGTAAACATAATGGTGACTTCGGCTTGGTATCACGTTTGCCTTATATGATATATACCTACTGACATTCTGTAAGGCATGACGTGACATCATGTTCTTTTGTAGATATGTGGACAGCCAGAAATGTTACCGTAACCTGAAGGAAGAAATCGCCAGGGGACGCCTGGCCGGATCAAAGAACAAGTACGTCTCGTGGCATTCCGTTCTCCACGAGGATGTTTTGCATACTGCCCTCAATTAATTAGCATTCAAGAATCTTTATCACAGTGATTTGAAATGAACGCAAGGATCGCGATGAACATCAAATGCCCGTCGAAGGCTAACTGAAGTCCAGCATGTAGTTAACATTACAAATGCACTGAATATATCTAAGGGTAGCTTGAAAAAATATAGCGCTATATGATGTATTTGCCCAATCTAATCAACGGTCACCTGACACGTGCCCGGGTGGCCAGTTGATACCCTTCGCTCGGGTGGGGGGGGGGATAGGGGAGAGTGATTGGACCTCTGAGATCTCAACATTTAAAGAGAGCTAGAGACACCAAAATCAAGGGATGGGTTGACCTGTATGTGAACGCACTTGTATCAAGTTTTGAGGTTCCTACGTCTGATGTTTAGTTCAAATAATATCACACAAGGTTAAAAGTCGAGATTAGTGTCCAATGTACCCCAGATGTCCTCATCCAACAGCCATGGACATAAGTACCCGTGCGAAGCAAAACGACACTAGTGTTCATTTAAGGACAGTGACATCGTTTGACGTAAGAAGATCACGGTGACTAAAATCCTGCAGGATTGGTTTGATTTTTGCGTTTGAATAAGCGTCGAGGATTGTGCTAGATGGTATGTTCCAAAAGACAGAATGCTGATCTGTGTTATTTTAGGTCCTGACCTTTTCTGAGCGTTGAGAAGTCCATGTAAGATGTCCGTTGCGGCTTCTGATATCAATGGGTTCGAAATGAGTATCAGGAACTACCGCATGTAGCAAGCTATCGAGTTCAAAAGCTGATTAGTTTTCGCATTCGTCTAATCCTCATACCGTACCCCAGGTCCATTGTTTTTTTGTAATCCTAAATTTTATTGTTTTGCCCAAGAAACTTTCAGGGGTGCATGGCTTCGTCTAGCACTCTGATTGTCGCACCAGATTGGACGAATCCTAGGCTAACTTCGTTGACAGCCACAGCCTGACTTTGATCTCCCGTAAGTCAGTGACCGTACAAGGTACATCCAACTTGCTGATATCAAAGGATTTGCTGTTCCATTACCTCCAGCTTTGCAAAATTTGGCACGTCTGTGTAGCGTAGCTCCTTAATTATCTAATATTTGAAGGAAGTCAAATTGACCCTCATTTGAGGGCGTATTAAGGCTTCTTAACACGAGGTCGGGTGGGTGTCAAATTGACTCCCTAAAGGTTTTTCCAGAATTGTTTTCGAGCGACGCGGCGCACCCGCGCCAAATTTTGCATAACTATCGACAATTAAATGGCGGATCGTTTGGTGTTAAACATTTAGATGCACCTTGTAAGGTCGCGGACCTATGACAGGTCAAAATCAGGCCATGGTTTCAGCGAGGTCAATTTGTAGGGAATCGTTTAATCAGATGCAACAACGGAGTGCTAAACAAAGCCATATATCCCTGAGATGCTTTCTTTGGCAACACAACAATTGAATGAGAAGGTAAAATTGACCTGAGGTCACTTAGAAAGGTTGGACTAAGGTCAAAACCAACATGCTTTCTTACCGTGGGGCTTGCTGTGTGGGGTAGTTTCCGCTGCTCACTTTGAATTTATTGATTGCATGAACCGTATTCTACATCTTCCATGGACTTTTAGGGGTCAGAATAGGTCATTGACCTAAAACGACCCAGGTAGACGTTTTATTTTTTAGGAACATACTGCATAGCGTAATCTTCGTCGCTTTTTCGAATGCAAAACTCGGAACAGTGTTGTATGATTTAGGTCACCATGACTCTCAAAAGGTAAAAAAAAGGTCACTGACCTTGAATGAGGATGTGGTCTTTTGCTAAGAAACAGTTATCTAAGTTCTAGGGGCACTTCAGAGACCAACCCGGAATTATATTTTTATGCATTATTTGAAACATGTCCTGACCCAGGAATCTCAAAATTCGACATAAGTGAGTTCACGTACAGGTCACCACACCCTGTAAATTTGGTGTCTCTAGCTCTCTTAGTTCCCGAGATCCCAGTGGGGTCAAATTAACCCCCTCCCGAGCGAAGGGTATCCAGCCGGCCACCCGAGCGCGTCTTAACGCTCTTGTATTCATTAAACACCCTTTTAAACCCTAATTGTGGTGTCACGTCCAGCAAACGTAAACGAAGCCAAAATTGTACGCTCCAAACAGCTAACCTTACTTTATTCACCCAGAAACAAATGCGCCACTAAATATCTCGAGCATGCTGTCATCGATGATGGTGTAGACAGAAATGAATTTCATTTCACAGGTACCGGCACATTCAAGGGGCCCTCAACACTCACTGGAATCCGTATCCGCCTACCAAGGGCTGGCGATGCTGAGGTGTCCAGCCTCGTGCGGTCCGGGCAGCGCCCCGGTGAGTCATGCGGAGGGAGTGAGACCAGCGGCCTCGTGACCTGTGGAGGGGACCCACCCCCGTGAAGCTGACGACTGCGAGAGAGACATCGACCTCGTGACCTGAGGAGGGGGCCCACTCCCGTGAAGCTGGCGACTGCGAGAGAGAGACATCGACCTCGTGACCTGAGGAGGAGGCCCACTCCCGTGAAGCTGACGACTGCGAGAGAGACATCGACCTCGTGACCTGAGGAGGGGGCCCACGCCCGTGAAGCTGGCGACTACGAGAGAGACATCGACCTCGTGACCTGAGGAGGGGGCCCACTCCCGTGAAGCTGACGACTGCGAGAGAGACATCGACCTCGTGACCTGAGGAGGGGGCCCACGCCCGTGAAGCTGGCGACTACGAGAGAGACGTAGGGCTCTGTGGGTCTTTCCAAGGATGACAGACGCCACCAGCGAACGGACTAGCGATTTCTGCGAGCATTGGCGCCGTGCAGTTCCTTTAATTTGGACGGGCCGCTATTCTTGACATTTGTTTTAAGTATTCACTCACAGACGTCTTGGCCAAACATTTCGGTTTCCCCAGGCCAGTACCAGCCCGTTTGATAAGTGCTGCGAGTCGTGGCCACATGTGTAACGAGGCGGCTCGCCCAGTTTGAGAGCTCCCGTACCAGCCAGTGCATGCTTTGTTGACGGTCAGCGGCGGGGGGGGGGGGGGGGGGCACCGGCATATTTCCATGGAATTCGGCAGAGGAGGACGAATATGGTGTCGCGCACAGCCCATGAGAGAGATAGATATTATAGAGAGGAATGGGGAGGAAAGAGCGGGAGAGTGGGAGAAACATAACGTAGCACAAAGATTCCCGCGATGCGTTGAAACAATCATGTTCCATGGTGCTCTTACTGTGCGAATAACACAAATGTGTTGCTGCTGGGTTACTCTACACTGACATATCAAGGCACGGACGTTGTGTCGGGCAATCTTTCGCAAACAGTGCCAGATGCATATGGTGCTCATCGCAACTGTCTTTTGTCGGAGATACGAAACTAGGCTTTTTTGGAGCGATTGTAATCGGGGCATCATTCCTCTCATACTCAAACTTGTGTCGTAGATCAAGTGGCCTATGCGCATGACACCAATTGATCTGTTACGTTTTGTAGTTTCTCCGGGAAAACTAACAAACAGAGAGACAATCATGCATCGTAAAAAAACAAGTACATTGGCCACGTGGTTCGTGGGCTGACGGGTTTTTGCAGCCCTCAAAGGTATATGCATAGCAATATTTAACGTATTGGTTGACATCGATTACGGGACCATCAATCTCGGTGAACTGACCTTGCCTGGCGCCCGCGTGTCTGTTTATATGCATGCGGCTGTTCTATCAATGCTGAATTTGCACGTGTCGAAGCTCTTTGAGGACGAAAGGAGAAAAAACAAAATCATTCGATGGCGTAGCTGGAATGCCGGCTCGTTGGTACAATCATTCATCGCCCCATCGGGCCAATGGTGCGAAATATTTGACATGATACTTTGGTGTTGCGTGGATTCGACCTCTAGATGTTCTTTTACGTATTGGTATATCTGCACTGGAGTGCTTCAGTTTGGGAAATAAGGAAATAAGAAGCCAGCCGACGGAACAGATGAGGATGATATAGCAATTGAATATGTGATCAATATGATGATCGTTGTAACCGATGGTAACTGATATTAGGTATATCAGTCAGTATATACCGGTATATCACTATTGATAACGCTATGAATGAATAATATATATATATATATATATATATATATATATATATATATATATCTTTGTTTATTTATTTGATTGATCGATTGATTAAACGGTATTGAACTCATGCCATGATGTAACGTAATTGAACTGATGTAAGGATTTTCAAGATCACTCCCCGAAGTTCGCAGCCATGTCCTTTAAAAGGAAATGTTTCATATGTGAGCACATTAAGTCAGGCATCAGATAAGCTCAGTTCTAACTATTGGCATGATTCTAAGTGTAAACACTGCTATAGACATCAAAGCTCCACTATTCAGTAAATATGATCCTCGATACGTCATCGTTCTGCTGCATCGTGGGACGCTTTATGACGTCAGATGGTCTGCCAAAGTGGTCGTGCAAACTTGCTGTTGTAGCGGACGAGCTAACTCACTTGCAGTACTTCATCTTCTCGAGAGGTGCCGTGCCATCGGTGCGTTGTTGGTAGGACCAGGTTTTATATTGTTCGCTCGCATTCACATGCTCGGTTAAGATACTTTTAAGATATCAGATTTCCAGCCTTGTTTCCGTCATCACTGGTATCGCCGTCCAACTTCCTACATTATGCAGTACAAAACTACGTGATTTGCGATCGAAACTTGAACTGCATGCAAAACATTGCTGTATGGTCAGTTGGCCTCTGCTGGTATCCGAAATGGTACTGATTTACGCCAGACGCGAATGGCTCAACGATGATATCCAGCTGAGCCTTCAGTGTCGCATGGCCAAGAGGATCACAGGATTTACTTTACGTTTCCATGGCGTCATGCACGCCTGAGTGACCTCGTAATATTTTGCAACGAAATAGTCTGGCACAAGTTCGCGGGCGTCGTGCTTAGAGACCAGAAGATTTTAAGTTTTAGGAACGGCAGGGTCGTGAAGTGCACTGATTGATCTTCAAAGTGGCTATCTCAGTTCAGAACCCCATAAAGATATGGAATACTCCCTTTAATACCACCACCGTCACCTTGTAACGCGTATGATTACCACCAGTGAGCCACACACCGTCCGCTACAGTAGCAACTCTGACAAGGCCAGTCTGGCGGCGACTCTGATGCCATTTGGAGCAGTATTTTGCTCTCGAAAGCATATCAACTAGGTAAAAATAAGCTTTTTCCACTATGCCTGATGCTTGTCTGAGTATCCCTAAAAGTGAATGGTTCTTTTAATCTATTTCAGCACTAATTAGTTCTTTCGAACGCATTAGCACGGTATGGCCAAGGCTAACTCCTTCGGCTATAAGGGACCACCTCAGAATTGTTGGACGAAGGAGTGTGGATATGCGTGGCAATGCTGCATGCACCTCGGAGCTTTCCACCGAGAACGTGACCTGCACGGGGTATGCCAGATTCTTTATTTGGGGTGTGGTTTGTTTAGGGTGTCCTTTTGGCATGCCGGTACCCTGCGGTATGCAGGATGAAGTGAAAATAAGAAGAAATGGCTGAGTGCTGAGCGTGTTACAACCGTGATGCTTTTGATAGCACCATCTATCTGCTTGCAGAATATGCTTGCTCAGGCCAGATCATCCGTCCCACATCACTCTCCTATCCCAGGCTTCCTTCCCCCGTTCCCCTGCCAGCGGCACTCAAGCTGTTTGGGTGCGACGGAATCCCGATCCGATCAGACACACAATGTTGATTAGAAAAAAACTGCACTAATTAGTGCGAACGTAATGGGCACGGTTAAAACAAAATAGCTGAACGCTCTGTTGAAAATGATCATTTCAGTATTTACATGAAAGGTCGCATATATCTCTGCTTATCTACTACCGAAGGGAGCCCCTGCACCCCTCGCGTGGTTACCCTTCCCTGCCAGGTGAGACGCATCACACTGTGGAAAGTTGGTGCAGCAAAGCCGCGAGCGACTTTCAATGACGCAATGTAAAAATTAAGCCGTAATCAATGAAAGTTGGTGCAACTCCACAACACTTGCCATGCTACACTCTCCAGTCATGCTATCAAGACTGCAGCGCTCCCATCTGACCCTACGATGTGTTCTCAGGTCCTGTGGCAAAGCCAGAAGACCGGTATCAAGCCAGATCCCCGTGCACCGAACGGATCACGTAGTCCAAACGAGGGCAGCCTGTAACGTGCTCCCTTGGCCAGTCAAATCTTGTGGATGATCGGGAAAACAAATAAACACCAGACGTCGTTTTCGACTAATTTCTTGAGCCCAGACTGATACCCGTCGTTCCGCCGTTCTGGAGAACCGCAAACACGCAGCAGAAGATTTGCATTGAAGTTCAGTGACCTCCCTGACGCTATCCTCACAGATGCCCTCCGTGACAACAGCCTGTCCTTTTTCGTATCATTTCCAGGGTAGACTTACATGCAGTGAAGGTATGTCCATCCTCCACTGCAGTTCTCAGTTTTTGTGACAGCCGATAGGCTAAGGCCTGGCTCCATGCACCGCGTTTTTAACACATTCCACCGTTCAACATATATTTTGTGTCACGGTTTTACACACTCGTTAGGCACATGCCTCATGAGGCTGCAAGGTCGCTGCGACAGCTGATGGCAATAACACGTGATCACCGCTCTGAAGCACACCACCGGCCTGACCAAGAGCTCATCGGAGTGCTGACGTCTCGGCGTGTGCAGTAGTGTTCAGTGTCGACCCAGCGGGTGACTACTGGACTGTCGCGTTACACCGTCCCGACCTGGCAACACTGCAGCTGGTATACGATATCAACCGACACCAGCTTAACACCGGCGATAAATGAGTCGGGTGGGCAGGACACGTCGTTCGCCAGGGTGGGGTGCAACACGCACGCGTGCCGCGTGTGGGTGGACGGCAGCTGCACGCAGCGCATTCTCTCCAGCCTGAACGGCGCCTGTTGCACTCCATCGTTCAAGGCTCCCACCAGCATGTTGTTTCCGCATTCCGTCATCTGAAACTGCGCAAACGGGACGCGGCTCAGCAGGCCGTGAGCGCAACGGGACGCGGCTCAGCAGGCGGTGAGCGCGGCCAGTGCATTTCTGGCTGGGCACTACACTATCCACCCGCCTGCAGGCGTTTATAAACATAAAAATGTGTATTTGGTGAAAACACGCGCATGTTTGACAAGGAAAATGCATCAAAAGTGCTCTTTTCTTGTATTTGTTGCGACTTTTTATGTACATTGACGTGTAAGCTAGAAAATGAATCCACTTTGTGGCGGCCGCTAAATATATAAATCCACCTGTCCATAATTATCTACATCCATCTATCTTCTCCAAGTGCTTCTAAATTTTACAAATTCTAAATAACTCTTGTGTGGTTCTGGATTTACTTAAGCAGCGAACCAAAAACTGGTTTTCACCCCTTTGACCTGGCATAGCACATGCCACACTTATCGATATTGATCAGTGTCCTTCAGATAGTTTTCAAGACCAATTCCACGCTTTCTGCACTGTCGTGACATTCTCAGTTCTCGTGACAGCAGCGGGGGTATACACAGTACTAACTTGACCTATACGACCCGACTCTGCATGTCAAATGTCACAGTATACCTTGTTCAGTCACGTCTACGTGGTACAGTTCAATGACAGATTTCCATGGATGTAACCATTGTCTGAACTGTCGTTCTTGTCCGGTGCGTCGGTGTGAGCACAACACCTGGACCGGTTAACTCTCCGACCGTCGTGCTACTGAGATCTGAGTCGTTATTTAGTGGTTACCAAGCCCTGTGAAAAACTAGAGAGAGTTTGGCTTCCAGCCATGTACTCGTCGTACCCAGACTTCTGTTCTCAGAATCGCTGGGATCCGAACCGGGATCTTCTGATCATCAGCCCAATGTTCTACCAGCTGAACAAACCGGGAAGGAACCACCATGTCTTCATGGCTGAAAGCCAAATAACGTTCAGTCCTTCTCGGGACACGATGGCACCTGACTACCGCCGGAAACTTAACTGGCAGAAATGTTGTGTATATACTGACACACTGGACGCGGACGGTAGTCTGAACAATTATTTCATCCATCATGCCTTTACCCTCGTCTCAATCCTTCCATACAAGAATGATGACTTTCTAGTGCCATTTGCTAGTGACTCTAGCTTGTTTAGTTTCTTAAGATCTTACGGGGCTTCCAAGGCTCCCTCGTATGGGGAGGGTAAAACGTGCCCGCAGAACAAAGGGTAAAACATGAGGCCCGTATATTTCAAATACGTGAAGTACTACAAATATTGACCGACATGAACCAGCGGCAGCTAGGTTTGCAGAAACCATCTGGGGTGTGAGTTTCCACGCATTCCAGTGCTGATACCATGGCCCTCAATAGCCCGAGACCCCGAAAAAGGAAAGAAATGTCCGCGGTCCGGAGCCTGGGTTTCCACGCATTCCAGTGCTGGTACTACGGCCCTCAATAGCACCAGGCTCCCCAAAATGGCGTATCCGCGGTCTGGAGCGTGACTTTCCACGCACTCCAGTGCTGATATCACGGCCCCCAATAGCACCACACCCCGAGAAAGGAAAGGCGTGTCCGCGGCTTGCTGCGGCACAAACCAAAACCAAAACTATTCACGCTGTCGGGATAACGCCTTCCCTCGGCGCTTCATGATCTGGCGCTCGTCGGCAAAGGAAAAGTGTTATCCGGTTCGGGGACTTCCATAACCGCCCGGCGTGTCGTGATTCAATTTTATATGCTTTGGCTTTAAATCGTAAAACTCTCACACGTGGTCCCAAAGTTTTAAGTTCTAACCATGTGGAGGCATTCCTTTTTCTCCTTTTTCCTTTTTCTCAAGGCTGTGCGTGAGAAAGATGTGGAGATTTCTTAGCACTGTGTGAACAAAACGTCTTTGTTAGGTGGAATCCAATGTGTCAGGCGTTTACGGCACGCACATATTATGACACGTAACCTTTACTAAGCTGTTAAAGGTCTTGGTCATATCAAGTTAAATCAAGGAAGTAAGCCAATCAGCTCTTACACCCGCTGTATCTGGAGCCAAAGTGGCTGAGCTGGGCATAGGGGGTGGAAGTCGTAAGGGTTAATCCATGTCAAGGTCACACTGGGTTAAATTCTTAAAACCCTCCAGATGTTTTTTTTTTTTGACGCACAAGATTCATCGTGCATGCTCAGAAGTGTTAGACCACCAAGAGCAACCTCATAGGAGGTCATGGACTGGCCACGGTGACCCCGCATTATACCCCGCTCGTGGCCTCTCCCATACACAGAACCCATTCACATATGATTTGCACTTCCATTTATGGACATGAGTAGGAAGCGAATGTTCGAGTGACCGCACGGTGCACGGTCAATTGTCTTCCCACATCGTCAGTAAGGCCAGCAAAGAGCGAGACATGCTCGGGGTAGCTGAACTTGAAATACGTCACAAGACCTCTCCAACGACTTCTTCTAGCATACACCCAGTATAAATGATCTAAATGGTCGCCCACCGGCAATAGCTGGTTACAGGATTGTTAGCAGCGACAGGCCTATTGCCAGGACCCTGCTGAAAGAAAGCGGCGGGGTGGCCATCATAACTCCCGACCCAACTCGCTGCGCTAGTCACGACTGTTGTCTATTCAGACCTAGACGTCTGGTCGACGTTCATTTAGTTATGTACACAGACATGCATTGTTCGCTCCTGCCCGTCAAGTCCCTGCGAACAACAGCCCGCAACTGACGTGAAAAATGATGACATGGAGTTATAATTACAGCATTTGGCCGGACATTTTCCAAGAGCGGACATCATAACGACTGGTGCTTTAAACTGCTGCCCGCATAATACAGACTCTGCTAAGCTCCGACATTTACTTAAGCACGTGCTTGGTGCACGCCGTCCTTATCGGTGCCACGCAACCAGCAAACACACTGACTAGCAGCAAGCCTCATCAATGTCAAAGCCATCTGTAGCATATTTCTAACTGGTGGCGTGACAGTGCTAGTGGAAACCTCGCTCGTGCCAGTCCTTCTCGCAGATACTAAATAGAGATCTTGTCAAATAGGGCTTCTATTTGCTGTGCACTTACAATCACCAACGTCCACACCACGACGCACACACAACACAGCGATTTCGCGTCTTTGAACTTGATGGAGTAGGAGCTTCCTTTTTAGGGTCACCAAAGGTACAGTTTATATACGGTGCGCGTGGGAACCGATTCATGGTCCTTGGGTACAGAAATGACGTGGTGTTAACCAATGAGAAACGAGTGCGACGTCGTCCGGTGGTCGCCTAAACCAATCAGAAAGTACGGCACCGCCTTGTGATCCCCGAACTGGCTTATGCAACTTACAGGTAATGAGACGCTGAAGGCAACTTTTTAAAGTAAGTATCGGATGACATTTCGGAGGTCAGGCAAACCTCAGGCTCCGATGGAACAATTGGTAGGCGGCCAGAGCACGTGTCTGAGATTGAACAAAGGCGCCCCACAGCTGATGCAATCTCATGTCACCCTACAGCGCACGACTGGCGGTAGAGGGCTTTAGACAAGAATGCTTGAAGGCGAAAAATGGAGTTTTTTTACACAGTCTCTTGTCAGAGCTCGATCAACGGGCGAGCGTTATAGGGTGTCGTTTGGTATCATGGGTGTCTCATGGTCATACCACATACGGTCTTGTGGTATGCCCATACACATGTGGTCATAGCATGCACAGTTATGCAATAAAGTCATACATAAACATAGCATAGTTATCCAACCAAGCGGCTTTGAATCCCTTTCTCAGGGCCAGGCTGCCTATCGTCCCAATATGAAAACAGTATAGGAAATTACGTAAGTTATTCAGTGAATTAGCGGGAACATTGTTCGCATAGATAAGACAATAATATTAGCCTTATTCCTCGGAAAACCAGGAGAAAGGAGATATTGTTAGGGTGATATTTCGGCAACATACCTTTATCGAAACCATAACAGACGTCTTTTTTGGTCTTCTGCTAATCTTTTGATAAATGCATGTTGCCGAAAAATCAACCAAACTATATCTCCATCCCCCTGTTTCTTTCCGAGGAATAAGGCAATACTACTGTCTCATTTAATGCAATGTATGTAAATGTTAAAAGACTTCAAGCACATCGTAGTGCTTGCTCACGGAACTCTACCAAGTGCCGGAACTTCCTTAATCGATCTTCATATGACATCTGGCATTATTTAAAATCAAAACGGTAGGCTGCATTTGCATTCCAGCACGCCTCTTCCTCAGATGTATCTTTGCAAAACTTTGGCCGAACCCCGGCCTACC